AGGGGGGGGGGGGGCAGGTGTAGTTCTGTAGTCCAGCAGAGGAGAAGTGGACAGGTCTGGCAGTACTGCTGGGGGTGTCAGAGGCGTGACGTTAGGACCGGGTATCTGTTCTAGAGACGAGAGACGGGAAATGTATTGCGGAGATGTACTGACTGTAGACGCATTGTCTCCCGCAGATCAGCGCAGCTCTGGAGGAAGATCCCAACGGGCAGAAGATGCAACTTGCATACCGCCTGCAGCAGATCTCGGCACTGGTGGAAAACAAAGTCACGGACTTATAATAAACCCGCTGAACCAGTCACCACCACCTCGGTAGACACTGTGGGACTTGAGAAACCCATTTGGAGGAGTTCTTTGCTTCTGAATCCGTGAAACATCCCCTTCCGGAAGAAGTAACGCCAACTTCCTGTGCTTTATCCTGAATTCTTTGCTCTTAGCCCAGCAGTGCGCGCTGCCTACCTCGGTGGAACTGTACAAGTGCCTTAGTTTTATTAGACATTCCGGTTCTTCCTGTGGTCAGCCACGGTCGGGCGCGGTCAGGCGCGGTCGGGTATAAGACCTCCTGTGATCTGTAGATCATCGTTACTCAGCAGCACAAGAGGAGGAAATCTTCGTATGCAATGCGCTTTGAAGTCTTGCGTGTGAGCTTCATGTGGTGACTGGCCTTGGCGCAGTGCGGGGGAAGGTAGCCCATGTTTAGTAGCTGCACCGGACAGCCGGGTCACGTTGTAGACCTCGAGGCGCCCCTCTGCCCCGAACAGCAGATCTCTTACATGGAAATATCAGAAAGAACAACCGTCTGTTACCGCGAGCAACCCGATATTTCCATTCATTTACATAAAAGAGACATCTCTCCGGTTGCTATAGAGACGGTTCTTACCGGAGACTTAACCAGTGCCAGGCCTCGGATCTGGGGTTCTTTCCGGAGCCTTCATCCAGTGCCAGGCCTCGGATCTGGGGTTCTTCCCGGAGACCTAACCAGTGCCAGGCCTCGGATCTGGGGTTCTTACCTGAAGCCTTCATCCAGTACCAGGCCTCGGATCTGGGGTTCTTTCCGAAGCCTTCATCCAGTGCCAGGCCTTGGATCTGGGGTTCTTTCCGGAGCCTTCATCCAGTACCAGGCCTCGGATCTGGGGTTCTGTCCGAAGCCTTCATCCAGTACCAGGCCTCGGATCTGGGGTTCTTACCGAAGCCTTCATCCAGTGCCAGGCCTCGGATCTGGGGTTCTGTCCGAAGCCTTCATCCAGTGCCAGGCCTTGGATCTGGGGTTCTCACCGACGCAT